GCAGCGGGTTAGGGTGCCTCTTGCCCATCTGTGGGACAGGAGAACCTGCCACGGAGGCGGTGGTGCTGAGAGCACAGGCTGGGGCCCGTGAGGCTTTCTTCTTCCCCCCCCCCCAACCGTGAGATGCCCAGGGACCCTCCGGGGACTTCCTTCGCTTGGGCCAGGGTGAGGGGTGGGAGGCAGGGAGGAGGCCGAGACCGAGTGTGAAGCTCTGACCGCGTCCCGAGGCCTCTGCAGGGAGGAGCGGAGGGACACTCGCCCGCCCGCCCCCCCGAGCCCCTTTGGGGCCCTTTGCCGCTGGGCGTGGGGTGGAGGAGATGAGAGGCGGGAGGAAGGGAGCCTTTGGGGGACGCCTCTCGCTCTCCTGCCCTGAAACAGCCCCCTCACCACCCCCTGCGGCTCCTTTGACCTTGCAGCGTGAAAGAAGGCGCCAACAAGGAGGTGCTCGGCATCCTGGTCTCCTACCGTGTCAAAGTGAAGCTGGTGGTCTCGCGGGGAGGGTACGTACCCCAGGCGGGCCAGTGGGTGGGTGGGTGGCTGGGGCGGGGGGTTCCCCCTCCCTGCATTTGCTCTTCCCCCACTCCCCCACCCTGACCCACAGCATCTTCCAGGGACGTCTCTGTGGAGCTGCCTTTCGTCCTGATGCACCCCAAGCCCCTGGACCAGAACTCGCCCTCGCAGCCTCAGCTTGGTAAGCACCGGGACCCGGAGCGAAGGAGGGAGGGGCTCTCTCTGCTCAGCCCTCCCGCCCAGCCTGGGGGTTTCCTTCGGGTTTTGTTGACTGGGGAGCCCCCTCCCTCCCTCCCTTTGGCGATGGGGCTCACGGGACCTTCTCTCCCTCTTTCCAGCTGCTCCAGAAACGGCAGCACAACCCATCGTCTATAAAAAGGAACGCACACGTCTCACAAGGCCTGAACAAAATTGGGTCCATATTTTTCCTGGATGGCCCAAGAGTTCTGCCATTCGGTATACAAGACTGAAAGCAGAGTAGATTGTCAAGATGAACCCCTGAAAGGACACACACACACACACACACACCCATCCTGTCAGGCTGCTTCTAGCAGGCAAAAGTGCTTCCAAGGTGTGTGTGTGGGGGGGGTCATAGGAAATTGGGGGGGGGGCGTCTGAGGTTCCCTGCCCTCCCCTCTCAACCTCCTCTGCCCATTTCTCTGGCCTTTTCCAAACTAAAACGGACCCTGACCAGACCCCCCCCCCTTGTCCTATTCTTCTCCCCTCCACCACCAAAACAAAGCTATGAGCAGGATGACGACATTGTGTTTGAAGACTTTGCCCGCCTGCGGCTGAAGGGGATGAAAGACGACAAGGAGGACGACGACCATTTCTGCTAAGCCAGGCCCATCGGCGTGCGTGTGTTTGTGTGTGTGTCTGTCTGTATGTTCGGTGGCCACAGCCTCCCGTGGCTTCACCCAGGACCAGCTGAGGTGCAGGGGGAGAGGAAAGCGATACCCCCCTCCTCTTTGAATGTCTTGTCGTCACCCCCACCCCACACCCAGAGACACAGAGTTCGGGGCCAAGTCCCACCGTCCTGCTTCCCAGCCTTTGTGTCTTCAGTGCTGCTGTGCTGGGGGGGGGGGGGTTGTACCTCTCCCGTCGGAGGCTTTTAATGTGACTAAAATAGGGGAGTGGGTCACCTATGCTTTTCTCCTCCCCTCCCTTCCTCCCCTCCCTTTGCTGCTGCATATTTTTCCAGATGGATTTTAACTGCTGAGAAACCCCCCTCCCCCGTCTAACGCACTGGAATCATATATAGGGCATTATTGTCTAATGGTCACCCCCCCCCCAACACACCACTTTGTTTATGTTCGCTCGTCT